CTTTGGTATATGAATTTATTGGAATTTTCTTTGTGGGGCGATTTGAACAATTGTTTAAGGAAGACTATATATTTGGATTGTGTAAGTCAGAAAAATCCCTTTGTTCTATTTTAAAGAATAGTGATCACTGTCGTGATTACTTAAGGTCGATTTCATATCATATCGAGGTCATATCAGGCCTGTCCAAATAGCAAGGCGTCCATTGTGGAGCGTCTTCATTTAAATATTTCTCTGAGGGCTTGTTGGAAATATTTTGGGAGCACTCCACTTATCAATAGGGTTAAAGGATTCCAGAGAGTTAGAGAGGTTTAGTACTGTTTAGTATTGATTAGCCTTTCTTGGTTTGAAGATGTTCTAGAAAAGCTGTTCATAAAAGCTTTTCAGAGAATATGGCAAAACATTTGAAGCTTCCGTCTACCTGTAAATATTGATCCAAATTGTTCAAATCATTCAAGCAAAATCTCTTTGATCCAATTTAAAGTATCAGAACTCAGGTTTCACACCTGACCACATGCCACGTTGGATAATTTTATCAGGGAATGTTTATATATGCAGTGAAAACTGACAGCCCAAGTGAAAGCACAATGCATTCTATCTGACTTGGATATTATATATTTCTGTGTGACCATGTGAGTTCACTACAAACACTACATTCCTCGTAGTGCCCCAGTATCTCTCTATTGAATACTTTCTGTTTTCATGAAGTCTGTATAGAACCTGTTTTCACTACAGAGCTAGTAGTAGGTGGACACGGATATAATCAAGTATTTGACAGCATATGTACACAAACAGTTGTCTATCTTCATTTAACAGTAAGTCAACCACCAAGCAGCCAGAGTACCAGAGAATCAGAACAGGGAGAGACTGAAAGAAGAACCAGAACAGGGAGAGAGTGAAAGAAAAATGAGAGCAGGGAGAGAGAGTGAAAGGAGAATCAGAACAGGGACAGAGTGAAAAGAGAATCAGAACAGAGAGAGAGTGAAGGAAAATCAGAACGGAGAGTGAAAGAAGAATAAGAACAGAGAGAGAGAGTGACTGGAGAATCAGAACAGGGAGAGTGAAGTGATAGTCAAAATTGAGAGAGAGAGTGAAGGAGAATCAGACCTGACAGTGAAAGGAGAATCAGAACAGAGAGAGAGAGTGAAAGGAGAATCAGAGCAGAGAGAGAGAGTGAAAGGAGAATCAGAGCAGGGAGAGAGAGTGAAATGATAATCAATAGAGAGAGAGAGAGTGAAGGAGAATCAGAACTGACAGTGAAAGGAGAATCAGAACAGAGAGAGAAAGAGGAGAATCAGAATGGTGAGAAAGTGAAACGAGAATCAAAACAGAGAGAGAGTGAAAGGAGAACCAAAACAGAGAGAGAGTGAAAGGAGAATGAGAACAGAGACGAGAGTGAAAGGAGAATCAGAAAAGGGAGAGAGAGTGAAAGGAGGATCAGAACAGTGAGGAAGAGAGAAAACACAGTTATAACAGGAAGAAGGAGTAAAAGGCAAATCAAAACGAGAAATAGTGAATGGAGAATCAGAAGAGACAGAGTAAAAGGAGAGTCAAAACTGGGAGAGAGAGTGAAAGGAAGGTCAAAACTGGGAGAGAGAGTGAAAGGAAGGTCAAAACTGGGAGAGAGAGTGAAAGGAAAGTCAAAACTGGGAGAGAGAGCAAAAGGAGATTCAGAACAGGGAGAAGGAGCGAAAGGAGATCCAGAACAGGGAGAAGGAGTGGAAGTTTAACTATTATTGTGAATGGTGGGGTTAGGTATGACCAGGGTTGTGTGTTATTGCTGCAAGTGTCAGAGGGCAAGGTGAGAGCTAGAGGGAGAGAGCTAACAGTAAAAGCCGGGAGCTGACCTAGGACTCTGTTTTCCTTCCTGTATTCTGTTTGCTGTGCAGAGTTCTAAGTAAAGCTGTGCTATGGACAACGTCCTCCATTACATTTTATCAGACATTAAAATATTTTCTGACCTCTTACAGAGACAGCAGTGAGCTGTGAGGAGGACTTGAGGAGCAGGACATGCGAGAGAATTCACTCCTGGTGTATCTGTCGCATTTTCTGGCGCTTTACTATAAATTATTGTATGTTCAACATTATTACTGCCCAGGTCACAGGCTGATGACTTTCACTGATAGTTTAACGTTGATACAACACAGTGTTGAAATTTCATCTTGACCAAAATTATGATTATGATGAAAAATGAACAATGAAAGAATGTGTTCCTGCTATCTGGGTACACTTTGTGTCTGAGCTTCTAGCCAATGAGGATTAAGCTCTATCGTCATCAAGCTGCCTCTCAGCTCATATTTCATACTTTAAGGGGCAGTAGGCAGAAGGTCGCCGGTTCGATCCCCAGAGCCGACAGCACGTGACTGAGGTGCCCTTGAGCAACTGCTCCCCGGGCGCTGTGGATAGGGCTGCCCACCCAACTGCTCCCCGGGCGCTGTGGATAGGGCTGCCCACCCAACTGCTCCCCGGGCACTGTGAATAGGGCTGCCCACCCAACTGCTCCCCGGGCGCTGTGGATAGGGCTGCCCACCGCTCCGGGCAAGTGTGCTCACTGCCCCATAGTGTGTGTGCTCACTAGTGTATATGAGGTGTTTCACTGCATGGATGGGTTAAATGCGTAGGTGAAATTTCCCCATTGTGGGACTAATAAAGGTCTCTAAGTCTTAAATTGATGAATGTTTTTTGATTGTGACTTTTCAAATAAAAAAATTAGGCAGAATTTTGTTCAGCCTCGTCAGCCAATATCTCTGTGACCTTACAGCGGCCACCTTAGCTCTTGATTGATTAGTCCTATCTAGTTTAATTTGACATTCAAAAAGAGTTTCTGTTTCTTTTATTATAACAGATTATTAATGTGTTTTGTGGACAAATAAGTAATACTGGAAATTATTTTCTCTTTCTCAGTTCTCCTTATTTCAGTTAGATTACTGCAGAATTTTTAAAAATATTTTCCAATTTCAAATTTAAAGAGTTCCCAGGTTTTTCCATGCTTCCTGATTTAGCTTCATTCCAGTAGAACTGTATCAAGATGACTTCATGTTTTAATACAGATCTGTCCAGTTTCCAGTATGAATTATGCAAATATGCAAAGGTAGAATGATGTAGCACAGTATTAATTTGTATTGCTCGATGATCTGTCAGCAGGTGGTTAAATTAGCCACACCTGACTGGTCTTTAAGATGAAACCAACCACAGATCTTCTTGGGGCTGTTTAGATCTCGACCTGTTACACTATATAAGACCTGCTAAGTAGGTTATAACTGTAAAGAAACATCTTGTTTCCTGAAATATCCATGTTTCCAAAAAATACCCATAAACATCAGAGTGAGTTTTAATCACTTGGTGCATTAATACAGGAGTCAGTTGGTGTGTGTGGCCATATCCAGGTCCAGTCTCAGGCAATGCACTACCAACCTATTGTCACCCACCCCACCCCTGTTCTGTACATGGTTCTATAATTACAAGCAGCCAAAAAGAATTCTAATGAAACTGCAGTTTGCAGTTTGGTTGGTGAGATCAAACCCAGTACAAAACAATTAGCAGAGGAGGGTTTTGCTGAATCCCTTTGTGTTTCAGATAAACATCTGTACAAATCTACTTTAGATGTCTTGTCCTAGTCAGATTTTAGCTTTGTTAGATATTAATTATATAATGTTCTGTTCTTTGTTCCAGCTGTGTGAATCACGTTTAATAGCCACAGTGCAGCTGTTTTTCTTTATTTGTTAATGAAAAATAATGAAATCAGTTGTATTTAGTTAGTAACTGGAAAAAGTTATCAATTCATATATAAGTGGGGTGATATGGTATTTCTGCAAAACATTGAGCTGTGAGACATTGTACATGGCACTTTGTGCCTCTGCTTGAAGTCATGAAGATACTCTTACTTGTGATAACACTTGGTCTGAGGAGATGGTAGTGCAAGCATGTTTGTAGGTCAAAGTAGGATCAAAAATTCTGCTGTAGTGTCAGATATTGAATATCATACTGACTGTTGTGCCACTCCATAAACGCTGTCACAGTGAGCATAATTTCTGACCATTAAAGTAGCATGTGGGCACAAATGGGTATGCGTGCATCCAAATGATCTTTATGCCAGCATTAGAGTGCTGTAGTGCAGTTGTGCTGGCAGGATATAGAGACCTTATGCTGCATTCACGTTTTCTGTAGATGGACAACAGCAAACAGGATATTTCATTTTTTTCAGTGGAGCCACAACAGAAAATTCTGTCACCACAAGCAGCAACATTCCGCAGACTGCTTTGGTGAGCGGAACAATCCAGCAAGAGTTCAATTTTCCCAACTTTTGCCATCGACCACAGCAGTGGAATAAACCAGATGTTAATTTTTTCCACTGTAAATAAACAGTCTACACTGCTAAAGCTCTCCTGTAATTATCATCCATTTTCACTGGCTCAGTGACCATGGCAACGTTTGCGTGGCTTCATTGGAGCTGCACACCGTTATGAGGTGCAGAATGACTTTTTTTTCCAAAGCAATTATGTAAATGCAGTGTTGGTGTTTTCCAGACAGGTTGTTGTGCTTCTGGTCATGTCTCTCTTTCATTGTGCCCTTGAGGAACAACCATTTTATATTGGATGTCATTAAAACACATAATACACAGGAACATTACATAAATGGATTATTGAACACAAAAATAAAGCAGTTGGCTTTAATTTGGCTTTTTGTTTAACAACCCCAGTGCGTTGCTGCCATCAAGTTCTAAACAAGTTAATATTTTTCATGAAATGGTAAAATGTCTCACTTTCAACATCTGATATGTGTTCTATGTTCTGTAGTGAATAAAATATGAGTCTATGAAATTTGCAAATCATTGCATTCTATTTTTATTTACATTTATTTACATTTTACACAGCGTTCCAACTTTTTGGAATTGGGTTTGTAATTTAACATTATATTAAGTAGTCTTTTAATTTTTGAGACAGTTTGTTTACTCCAGTTGGAGTGAGGAAATTTCTCATTTCTCTCGTTTCCTAACTCTGCAGATTCAGAACCCCACAGACTGAGAGTGCTGAGTGGAGAAAGAGAGTGAATTCATTCCTGCTGGATCTGTGTTTGCAAGCAGCTCTCCATCAGAAAGACAACATTCAGACAACTGTAGAGACACTGATGTCATGTGGATATAGCAGAAAAGGAGAGTTCCTGCTGGATCTGTTCTCACGTATGAAGAACTATGAGACTCAGACAGGCAGGAGTTTTCTTCCAGCATTACAGCCAGTTTACCAGTCAGCTCCTGCAGTCTGGATCATAGACCTCTCAGAGAGAAAGAGCTCCCTCTTCCTAGAAGTGCTGAAACTCCAAACAGAGAAGAGACCAGTAGAGCTGACAGGCTGGTCAGATGAAGAGAGTGAAGTGAGGAGTTTCCTTCAGTGTCTGCCCTACATCTCCCAGCTGAGGTGAGTTTTAATCATTTATAATATCTGTAAAAGAACATTTAAGTTTTCATGTTGTAAGGTAATATTTAAAAAGGTTTTTGTCAGTTTTGCCAGATTTGAAACGTAGCGCCAGATCTACTGTGACGAGAAGAGTAAATAGCATGTTGGCAACGTTTGCTCTTCCATAAACGAGGATAACCAGCATATTTCGCAGAACTGCTAACGCTGCACGCTATTCACCACTAGGCTGACTTTGAATGACTTTGAATGAATAGCTCTTATTTACTATGACACAAATTTTGTGTGACTGTGCACTGTTATCACTGACTTATGAATCTGTCCCAGTGTATTTTATATTCAGTGTCTCACAGTAAACTCACTGTTAATATGCAGTATAACATGTATCTACAGGGTTATACGCTAAAGTATTTGCCGCTTGTGCTTCTCATTTGAAATGAACACAAGTACAGAGAAAAATCTATGAGTACAAACTTAATATAAACGTTTTTTATTCCCTCTTTTTTCTTTATTCCTCCTGTCAGTCAGAGAGGAAGTCACATTTTTTCTGCATTGTCCAAGCCCTTAATGATGACCTGAACAACATTAGGAATAATATTCAGTCATTAATTATTTATGATGTTCTTTTCTTCCAGTTTTTTCATTTGAGTTCCTGTCTTTGGAACACACAGTGAGTGTTTGTAGCAGCAGTTCTTATAAGTTTTCAGTTTTAATTTAAAAAGTTAAGGCAATTTTTTGTTCATTGGAATCTCGATTAAGACCTGCTGAAAATTACATCCCCATTTCCAAAAAAGTTGGGACGCTGTGCAAAATGTAAATAAAAACAAAATGCAATGATGTGCAAATCATTTAAACCCTGTATTTCATTGAAAAATAGTACAAAGACAACGAATCAAATGTTGAAACTGAGAAATGCTGTTGTTTTTTGGAGGGAATATTCCCATTTTGAATTTAATGCCAACAACACATTCCAAAAAAGTTGGGATGGGGGCAACAAAAGGCTGGCAAAGTTGTGTATTTCAAAAAAAAAAAACCTGGTGATTAATTGGCGACAGGTCAGTAAGATGATTGGGTATAAAAAGAGCATCCCAGAGAGGCCGAGTCTTTCAGAAGTAAAGATGAGGAGGGTTCACCACTCTGTGAAAGACTGTGCAAGCAAATAGTGCTACAATTCAAGAATAACTTTCTCAACATAAAATAGCAAAGAACGTTTCTTTTCATCATCTATGGTACATATCATTAAAAGATTCAGAGAATCTGGAGAAATCTCTGTATGCAAGGGACAAGGCCAAAAACCAGCATTTGCTGGCCGTGATCTTTGGGCCCTCAGACGACACTGCATTAAAAACGGACATGATTCTGTTGTAGAAATCACTGCATGGGCTCAGGAACAATTCTCAAAACTACTGTCTGTTGCTGCATCCACAAATGCAAGTTAAAACTCTAAAATGCAAAGCAGAAACCAAATATAAACAGGATTCAGAAATGCTGCCACCTTCTCTGGGCCCGAGCTCATTTAAAATGGATTGAGGTGAAGTGGAAAATTGTCCTGTGGTCTGACAAGTCAACATTTGAAATTCTTGTTACATGTTTTGGCAACATATGCTGCCATCCAGACGACAGCCTTGATTATTTCAGCAATACAATGTCAAACCACATTCTGCATGTATTACAACAGCATTGCTCTGTATTAAAAGAGTCCGGGTGCTAAACTGACCTGCATGTAGTCCAGACCTGTCACCCACTGATAACATTTTGCGCATTATGAAATGAAAAATACAACAAAGGAGACTCTGAACTGTTGAGCAGCTGAAATCCTGTATCAAGCAAGAATGAGAAAACGTTTCACTTTCAAAACTACAACAGTGTCTCCTCAGTTTCCAAACACTTACAGAGTGATGTTAAAAGAAGAGGTGATGAAACACAGTGGTAAACATGCCCCCGTCCCAACCTTTTTGGAATGTGTTGCTGGCATCAAATTCAAAATGGGCATATATTTTTCAAAAAACAATACATTTTCTCAGATTCAACATTTGATATGTTGACTGTAGTATTTTTTTCTTTAAAAATATGGTTTACATGATTTGCATATCATTGCATTCTATTTTTATTTACATTCTGCACAGTGTCCCAACTACTTTGAATGAGGTTGTAACTGATAGATAAAATTGCTATTTTATTTATTTTTTTTTCCAAATCTTT